TTGAGAGCCTCAGAAGCCTCAGTGGCAGGCCACACGAATGTTAATGTGCAGCACTGTAGCATCAGGTGAACTACAGAATCTGTATACTGTTTATGGCAATACTCTTAACAAAAGACTGGAGCGCAGAAAAGCATTTCCTGATGTGATTTTGGAGCCATTAGTTTAAAAGCGGAGACAGTATAATCAGTGTAACAGTATAATGTTGAGACATGAGTTGGACGGCTGAGAGTGTTTTTGTTGATTGTCTTACAGCCTGATATACAAGTAACACAGTCATCTGCTTATCTGACTGGGTTTATTTTCATGAATAGAGCACAAAAGCAGTGGATTTTTCAGAAATACATTCAGCACTGAGAAATAAAATATGAACCCCACAACCCGCTTGTAATAATTACTCCAGCGCTCGCAGAAAATGTTGAGACTCAGAAGAATAATGAGAAAGCAGATTGGAATATAGTGCCGCTGCTTTGTTTGCAACCTTTCCACCACATTGACTGGCTGGTAATTGTAGCAGCAGAAACATGACAAGTGAAGTAAGCAAGTTTTATTCAAGTGTGTGTTCATTTCTTCTTCAACACTGGCTCCCACCAGCAGCTGGTTAAATGTGATCTCTCTCAACCCCTGTCTCAGAAGATTCACAATCTCACTTAAAATATGAATGATTTTGTATTTTTTTAGTTTTCATTCTCTCTCCAGAAAGCGTTTTGTGCTCCAGAAGAGTTTTGTTTTTCTTTTCAAAATCACCATTCTTATAGATCATTTGCATATCTAAGCTTGCATTACAGCCTCTCTGTCTTCTTTTTTTACACCTCAGTATCTGAGTGTGTGGCACGATGTTCTCTTCTGTTTTGCTGCTGTGAGTGCTTCACTTCAGTAGCTGGGGATTATCGATCCCAGGAGATGAAAGAATTACCAATTAGAGAAGGAGCTGCTTTCTTTTTTACTGTACATGCTCTCTTAGCGGGCCGCTCCGTATCTCGGTTTCACTGTAAGACAAACATGATTATTCTCCTCGCCTTTGTCATTCCAAACCACACTCCGCTACCCGCGCCTCCCAACCAGCCTCCAGCCATTTACCCTGACATGAGCGATCAGCCCGAACAACAGATATTGGCTGGGAGAAAAACCTGTCATCCTGTGCAACGGGTGCACACTGTTTGCTACAGTAAATGCAACAGTCACATGAAACTATGGTGTGTGAATATAAGGCAGGAGAAACTCAATATTCGGTAGATTTATACTGTGTGGCACAAGTGTCCACATACTTTTGTACACTTTTGGTTGTTGATCTGTTTGTCATTACTAGGCCCTTTGGAACTATATATTGTCTAAGACAGTGGTTTTCATCAGGGGTCCTTGAGTAGGTTATTTTTTGGAAATTAGAACAATTAGACAAAAAAATAGACTGGGTCAGTTTTATTGATTGTAATTTATATTGGTCCTTTGATCATTGATTGAAGACTTTGAAATGTTGAAAACCTAAACATTAAAAAAAATCCTCTTAATGGATTCCTTAAGACAAATCCTCTCAAATTGGGGGTCTGTGGTATGAAATAAAAAAATTGGGAACCCTGATGAGATCATGATAGATGTTTCCCACTTTTGAGGAAGGTCCTTTCCTTATAGCCTAACATCAGTGTTGAACCTCACTAATGCAGCAAATCCTTGCAGCAGCCATTTGGTGGAAAGCCTGAACCCATAGGATCTCGTCCCTCAACGCAAGTTTGACCTGGGAGTTGGCTGCCCATGCAACCACGATCGCTATGTCACACATGTCTGACATATTGTGGCCTTGTAAAGTTGTTTTATCGATCATGTGAACAAACTACTGTAGGGCTGCAACTAACCATTATTTGTATTATTGATTTGTTGTTTGGCCCCAGAAAATGGTGAAAAATGTTGACCAGTGTAACTGCTCCACTCTGCTCACCATCTAGTTGCTAACTGTGTCTGTATGGTAGTGTGCAGTGGGTGGTCCAGACATCATTCATTTCTCATTGAAAACAGCTGCCTGCAGCCCTTTATAACAATGTTGATGAAAGCAGTGAGACTGAATCAATACAGTAGGCTACGAAACCAAAACAATAAGCTAAAAGTCACTAAAATTCGTACTTTAAATCCGGGGAACGTGATAATTCTCTGTGGGTTCATTATTGCTAGTGACACTTTTCACATTACGCATAGTCATTTGATCCATTGTTCATAAAAATAATGATTGGTGCAGCTTTAATGTTTCATTATTTTTTGGTCCAAACGCAACCAAACCTTAACCCTCCTGCATGGCTGTGCTTATTTGTGTTTTAGACTGTGACTGCTGTGAAACAATCATTAAATAACATTTCCATTCACTGCTTTTATTCTCGTTAACATCACTCCCTCTTCTCATTCATTTTCTATGTAGCTCGACCAAAGCTGCTGTCTCTCTGGCTCGCTCCAGCCGGGGATTTAGGGCCAACTTTGAATGGTGCATTTACAAGCAGCAACTAACAAATCCTGCATAATATGCCTTCAATTATAGCATTGGCATATCAGATATGAATAATTCCTGTAGCAGTCATATGTAATGGTTTTGGAAGGCACTGGCAAACAGGCACAAAATATTCCATATTTCAGAGGGCAATGACTATTATGATTAGTTTGGAGGACTCTTAAGACTGATTATAGCATATTAATTTCAATGGTTCTGAAATGAGATAACAATGACATTTGCGGTATACACATAATTTGGGCCATGTTCCTATTCCTATACCTTTGCATGCTGCATATTTTTAGCTGATTATCTCACAGTGTCCTTCATTACCAGGCAGACATTCCTCATTTGTGATGTTTTAGGAGAGTCCACAGGCCTTGCACCACTTGTGCCTCATGAATAATAGCCAAAGGAGGTCCCGAGTCGGATGAGATTTTTCTGGCCTTTTCAGGGGTCTCACCTCACCCATGTTGCCTTGAGACTTCTCTTCTACTCACTACCTTTTCTTTTTTGAGCACTAAATCCAGCACACCTCTCGGCTCCCCATACTTATCTCCTCTTTGCATCGCTCCCTCTTCCTCTCTCTCTCCTTTCAAATCATTGATTTTTCTGAGCTTCTATAAAATATTTACAGTGTGTGGGCAGACTTCTTTCTCTGGGATTTTGAGGGGGGGTGGGGGGAGGGCGGGGTGATCATTTTGAAAGCGAGTGGTAAAAGGAATGAGGAAGAGGGAGTGGAGGGAAAGCCGAGGGAGTGGAAAGAGGAAAGAAAGAGGCAGATAAGAGAGATGGAAGTCCACCCAAAGTCGTGGCGTGAATATCAATGCTTCACTTTGAAACAACTTCTCATTATAAATAAATAAACAGGGCTACCGATAAAGATCGTTATTCTGGGCTGTTTTGGTAATACCGCGCTTCCCCTAAAACCTTACTGTGTATCGATTATGAGCATATTCTGATGATTTCAACCTTTTTGCCTCTTTACCTGTCCCTTTCTCACTTGAGGCTTCACTCTCCCCTTTGTGTTCTGAAGTGTTGCTGCAGTTTCCAACATCGCCTCTCGCTCAGATTGCTGCCTAATTAAATAAAGCCCCCAGGACTGTTCTCGCGTAAGCTCTGTTGATGATACAGGCTTCAACCAAAACTTCCTAAGCTGTCAAAAATGCGAGACAACAGCATCTCCTTATAACAGGAACCAAAGCTGAAAAAGACTTAAAGAGAACGTGAATTTCCCCGCTTGTTTTTTGGAACTCTCGCTAAACAAATGATTCTTGTCTCAGACAGAGACTGAGGCAAGCCTTCCTTCAGAATGCATGAGTAGCCTTTAGTAACGAGTCTTCCACAGCCGCAGGCTTTAAGATTTCACAACATAGTAGACATCCTATCAAGCAGATCTTTCATTTTTGTGTAAACAGAAATTTTAGTATAAACACTATTATTCTCTATTATTCATTTCTCACCTACGTCTATTATTTAAGCTTTGAGTTTATGATCTCACAACCCTGTGGCTTCCGACGTGTTCTATTGTGGTTTGAAAGCAACCTTTGAAGAAGCTGTCATTGTCACTGTCATTTCCAAATCTGCTTAAGCAGTGCATATATTTACGCAAGATAACACGGTAACCATGGTAACATTTACGCAGGTCATCACCTGAAAGCAGGAATATTCCTGATAGATGAAAAAGTAGGTGAATTGTGCTTGTGTCCTACACTGTAAATGTTAGAGGTTTCTCTGTTTCCTGTTTGTCAATCTAAATGTCATATGTAAATAAATGTAAATGAACACATAATGCACGCTAATGACCTCATGTGTACTCCTTTCGGATCATTTATTTATCAGTAATAAGCCATTCACAAAAACCCATTGTGACGTTGAAGCCTCAGTTTGGCATTATGGGCATTGTCATCTTGGTTAATGGGGCCAGAAGTAACAATGTTTGGATGAGAGAGGGGAGCTGGCAAGTTGGGCTACACTTGGTTTTGGCTTCATTTTCCAAAAATTGCAGCTTGCCTGGTCACAAACAAAGTATTTTCGTAACAGAACAGTAACATTTTCTTTCTGAAATGATTTCAGGGGAGAAATAGTCAACGCAGTAACAGATGGATCCATATTAGCATATATTATCAGCACTGCCTAGTTTGACAGTTGGATCTGAGTTTGGTGCGTTGAGCTGGATGGACTCCGGTACTGGTAGCCCCGCCCTGAAGCATACCCTGCTTTATGGTCTATTTTACTCTAAATGGGACGATCATTTACTCAATGAACATCATGCTGTATGGAAAAAGACTAAGACCATAAACTCATTAGGAAACTGTTTACTGAGCTAATAAATCGAGTGAGAAGTAGGCTCATATGCCATAAGACTCAGTAATATCAGACTTCTTTTTGGAGCCACTGGAGTTGCCCCCTGCTGGGTATTGAATAGAGTGCAGGTTTATGGCACTTTGTGTTTGCTTCACTTTTCAGACCTAAAACCTTCTTTGGAAATATGACTTGTGTAATCAACTGTACCTCATCTGTTCTTCTCCAGGTGGGAGGGACGATGTACAACACTGGCCGCCACGTCTCTCTGCGACTGGACAAGGAGCATCTGGTTAATATTTCTGGAGGGCCGATGACGTACAGCCATCGTCTAGAGGAGATCAGGCTACACTTCGGCAGTGAGGACGGCCAGGGCTCCGAACACCTGCTGAACGGACAGGCCTTCTCTGGAGAGGTGCATACACTTTTTTTTATTACAGTTTGGTAATTCATAGCCAAGAGAAGTGCAGTAAACACATTATTGTCACCATATAAAAAAATCAGACACTCTACCATAATGAGTTTGTTGGACCAGATTTTTCAAAAAAAACATCAAGGTGAAAATGGATGTACTTCTGGCACTAGTGATATTTCATGGTTACAGACGTACCAAAACACTTTTACTCAAAACACTCTGAAGTGAGGAGGAATTAGTTACAGTACCACCCACCTTATTACTGGATAGCATTGCAGTAAACAGGAAACTCAACAGTATGCCCCATTGATAGGTTTCCTCACACCTGAGCCTGTCATTTGCTCACTAGGCTCAGATTGTTGTCTGACAACATTATAGAAAGCATCCCTACAGAGATAGACCCTTTGTTTTACCAGAAACAGACGTAATCGCTCATAGCTATGGCTCGCCACCAGACTCCATAGACGAAAATGGTAATTTTACTATGCAATTATTGTACACAAGTGGACAGAAACTAAACTCATCAAATCTTTGTTAGTCTTTCCAACAATTACCAACTCTGCTTTGGTCAGAATAAATCCCTAGAATTTTTTATTTATTGTATGAGTTGATCAGGTTAGCAAAATTCTTTTTTCTATTACATTCCAGCATGTTATATTCTTACCATATGATTACAGGAGATCACAGTTTGTGTTCTGTCACAGACCATAACCATAACCCCAATCATTCCGTAACCTGGAACATTAACCAAGCCTTAACCATAGTTTACCTGCAATAACCGCCATCTTTAACTTAACCTTACCATAGCTGCCATGCAGTTAATGCAGGAGAATATTTTCTTCCGCATTAACTGTGTGACATTGGATGTTCTCCAGGGTTTGACAGAATCATACGAATCGTTACATTATAGTTGTTGTATGGAGTTTATGGAACAGGAAATCTCTGCACAAAAGTCAGCGATACAATGCAAAAAAAGCTAAATGTTCCTGCAGTTAAGTCTCAAATTAGAGGAGGAGCAGCGGATGCACCAAAAAACCAGTGTGTGCAGTAAATGGGGTTGTAATGATTACTCTGGTAGACCGGAACATGTACTATTAGACTATCCTGTCTGAGTGAGGCTCCTGTCCACCTCAAAGCAGATTTTTAAGTGTCAAGTAGGTGTTTTAAATGTTTGGTTTTTAAAGGCAAAAGCATAAATTGGTCCTTAATGGGTGGAAACCTTGAATCTTCATTTAAAGGATCTTTAAATTCAGCTTCTCCATTACCCATTGTTCTTCACTTAATACAGCTGATTTTGAAAAGGTTTTCAGATGCCTAAATTTTGTTTTAAAGTTTTTTTGCATCAGTGCTTTCAGTGGGAACAAACTTGTCTTGGAGGTGACAGTTATAAGCATTTAACACACACACACACACACACACACACACACACTCCGTCCCTGCACGAACACACGCTCTGCCATTTTAAAATTACATTTAAACAATTAGCTTCCCTGGCTTTGATTGTTCAACAAAATCATGAGTCACTCACACCGCTGCATTCCGCCGCCGCCATTATATGAATAACCAATTTGTGTGGCAACAAAATAATTGCAGTCTTGACAGGCAAATTTATTATAATTAATGATAATCATTTATCTTCCCTCAGAGTCTGAGAGCTGATATTCAAATCACAATAAAACAAGTGTTTACTGCGTCCTTCAGGGTGGAGAGAGCTGTAACCCGAGCCTGAAAGGACACGTCCACACACACGAACACAAACACACACATACACTGATGCATCTCGAGGCTCCTTCGAGAACTTCCTGTTTTATTTCACCCCTGCCTTCAGTCACTGATTCGCCCTTTGTTGGTTAACACTGTGTTGGAGGAGTTCTTAGAGAAGCTCTGAAGAGATTTGTCGCTGATATCTGAAATGTGAGGTCACACTGTTGCCATGTTGCACACAGAATCCCTAAGGCAGGCAACAGAGGAGGAATGTTACACAGACTGCCAGTGATTTCCACTGTGAGTGGGGGGAGGGACATGCATTTAAAATACTCGACATGCATATTTCTTAATAGGAGGATGTAAACTTCCCAAAGGTCACTAAATCCCAAATTTCCAGAGAAGATAGAGAGGACATAAAATCAGTGTCTTCATTAGTAGTTATACCCCTGATTTTGCCCTCAGGTCTCAGGCTACATACAGGCTGCCTTGCCCATCTGATTGGTGCAGCTCGTTGTGGCTAGACACAGCCTGACAGAAATCTTTTCAGGCTAAAAATAAATAAATGAACCTCCTCTGTGGGTTTTTTGGGGGAAAAAATCATGAAATTAAAATTATGATTTTCAAGTGATCATATCTGTAATAGCATTATTTCCATAAAATCCACTAGAATTAAACATTGATTAATGCTCAGACAATGTTCTGCCGATATTAAAATGAAACCCCTATATCAAATCAAAATTGTCATTTCCCATTAAAATACATTATATTATATATGTTCATAGTCATAGGATCATCCCACCCTAATTAGTAATAAGCAAATTATTTTCCATACTTTTATTTATTTATTCATGTTTAGTTTTCCAAGGAAAATGCACTTTAATCAGCATAAACGTAAATATACTGGTGCTAGCGAAAAGACAAATTTCCAACTGTTGTTCTTTGGTCAGATATTAGATTAGCTATTAATAGAACAATAAAACAAATAAATAATAATACATAAAAAATAAAACAAGCAACATTTAAAATTGGACAGAAGAAAGCGGGCAAATCATGATGTAGTTGAAAAGAGGATAAAAAATCTAAAAGGAATACAGCAACTACAATGCAAGCAGACAATAGGCACGATGAATTTAACATGACAAACATTCCATTCCATTAACACAGGACAGCTAAAACCAAGTCCATTTTACATACACATTCAATGTCATTATGTTTAGTAGAACAATTGTACAACAGAAAGAGAAAAACATTTTATTTATACTGTACAGCTTTCATTTTTCACATGAAAATGAACCAATTTAATTCCATCATGCATCATAGGCACACAATTTGAAAATGAAATTTAAATTTCATTAAATGATTTTATTTGTATATTGGTAACAACAGACTTCTTGAGAAATAAGGTGACAGTGTTTCAGTCTTAAAGTCTTTACATGCTGTATTTATTTTTATTTATTTTATTTGTAGTTTGTGGTTTAATATCTAAAACAGCCATATCTCAGTTCTTTATTAGTTACATTGTCATTTTCAGGGTTACAGTTAGTCTCACTCCCGAGTTGTCAAATACTGCTGCTTGGTCAGTGGCCCTCTGCTTTAAAATATGATGCTGTAGGTATCCCTCTAGTGTAATTTCTGGATATTACATAATTTGCGTGACGTACTTAAGTTACACCAGGAACGTAACGTAACTTATGATCTTTTCCTCGTCCTAAGCAAGTGGCCTAAACCAAATCGAACTGTGACTGCTTGACATGCTTTATTTTGAAAGTCTAAGCAGATATTACATATGTATTGTTGCTAACTGGACGACGGAGCCCTGCACATCCAGAAATGACATAAGTGGTACCTACAGCATCATATTTTGAAGCAGAGGGCCACTGACCAAGCTGCAGTATTTTACAAGTTGGGAGTGAGAACACGTCGGTTATTTCAGTAATGACACAGAAGCTAACAGAGCACAAAGCTCTATTTTCTTATAATTTGGGGATTCTTTTGTTGCTTTTCTTCATTGTCCACTCCCTTACTTACTTGTCATGTGGTTCAGACTCTCACATCCAATCTCTGTATGAGGAGTTAGCAGTAGATGTTGGTTTCAGTAGAATAACTGGCAGCGCTGCTCAAACAGACAGATAGTTGATGGAGCTGCCAAACCTCAGGGAAAACAAGGCCAGGAAAGGTTGCGAACATATGTTTGCTTTTTTTCAACATCCCATTCCCTTTTGCCATGTTCTCCTCACTCAAACAACTGTTTCTGACTGAAATGGCAACTAGAAAACATCCTCCTCATCCCCCGATAGCCCACCCCAGCCTTTCTCTGAGCCAAAGCCGTGACTTCAAGGTCCAATAAGATGTTTCATAATCGAAAATGCAGAAAATTCTGTTTCCCTCTCTCTCCCTCTTTCAGGCTCCCTCTCGCCCCCATCTGCAGATGAGTGGTGGGCCTGGCTGTGCATGTCCTTGAAACGTGAACAAAAAGAGAAATGTTAAAACTTTTTAAAGCAGAGCATCTTTCTGAAATGGCAGCCTGTGGGAGGATGAGGGGTGGGGAGGGTATTGTGTGTGTGTGTGTG